CACCAATTTTCATCCAGGCAGGGCACAATTATGTGGGTGGAATTTGTGTTGCTGGGGACTCTGATCACATGGAAAGGCGACATAAAATGTTTTAAATAAATAAAACAGACAAATCATCATGGTGGCTGTATGACGGAGTACCCTAAACCTCCCCACAAGATCATGTGCTAGCAAAAATGCCAGGCATATCATACAGATGGCTGTAAAGTAAGGATCAATATTATTCCCGGATTTGAATGCAAGAAGCCAAAGCTGAGGCAGCAATGTGAGGATAGCACACAGGTATGCTTCGTTGCAATGACTTTTGTAATCATGATCATGGAACCAGGGGGATATTGTGCTAGCAAAAATGCCAGGCATATCATACAGATGGCTGTAAAGTAAGGATCAATATTATTCCCGGATTTGAATGCAAGAAGCCAAAGCTGAGGCAGCAATGTGAGGATAGCACACAGGTATGCTTCGTTGCAATGACTTTCGTAATCATGATCATGGGACCAGGGGGATATGGAACAGGGTCTAGAAAACCTTCCACGTCAACTGCCACTGTAACAGGCTTCTGAATAAGGTACTTTCAAATTTGAAACAGGATACTGCTCAGGATAATGGTCAGGAAAGCATTAAATCAAATAGTTTAAGGGCTGCACTATTGGATATAAAAGCAGAGGTGCAGGCCTTCAAGCTAATTTCACAAAGATAGTTTTCTGTCCTAAAGAGAAACCATTAAATAGCAGACTATAAGATTACTAAGACAGTCCTACTTCCTCTTTCTCCATTGTCTCACAAAATTCCTCTCCTGCTTGTAATACATCTTGGGAAAAATACAGTGGACCTCTCCTTCTATGTTAAATTAACAGAATATCTGTTCAACTACATTACCTTTTTTGTCTAATTTCTTCTGTGTTCCTACAATTTAGGAAGGTTTCCTTTGAAATGTGAAAATGAGGTGAACTATAATTGGCTGTACCAGAATGCAAAATTACTGTTTATCCCTTAATAGTCCATCTTCTTGATAGGTTTGGCAAGGGTTATCTCAGCATGTGAATGCCTTGCCTATTATTCATGAGCAACAACTGTCCAGTGATGAAGGCCATTTGTAGGGATCTATGGTGCCAGAGTCCTTATTCCTTTGCTGACTTCATATAAATAAATAGGACCCTTAAGGTACATTAAAGACTAACAAAATTTATTCCACACAAGCTTATGAAGATAGAGCCCACATTCTACAGATGCAGTAAGTGGATCCTCATTCTGCAGGCATTTTATGTAGGAGGTTTACAAATAAAATAAACACCAGCAGAGTCAAGGGGCCAAGAGATGCAGACACTACAGGATGAAATACAATTATGTTAAATCCTCTAGACATGAGGCTTCACTGGAGGGAATAGGCACCTTTGTTTGTACCTCATTGCTTATTTTTTCCCATGGAGGCCATAGTTGGAACATAGCTTCTGTATGGACTGTATGGAGTTCATTGCATTAAGCAGGGCACTGGCAGGGAGATTGGTATTAGTGGAAGATCAGCTGCCTTAGCTACATCCTGTTTTGTAACTGTGAGGCTGCTAAAGAGACTGATTCTCCAGAGTGCAACATGACAATGCTCTTTCCATGTATTGATAAAGTGTATAGTAAAACTGCAGATGCCTGGAGGCAAAATGGAGGCCAGATAGGAAAGGGTCTTTACCTTGCAGAAAAATATTGGAGTGTGTGTGTGTGTGTGTGTGTGTGAAAGAAGATTTAACAGGGCAATCCCATGCAAAGTTACTCCAGTCTAAGATGACTGGTTTCTACACAACTGCTGCCTAGTGCAGCAATGCAGGCACTGAAATTACTTTTTTCTCTACCAACAAGAACAAAGAAACCAAACTGCAAATTTGAGGATGAATACACATGGGCAGTTAAGGCTCTAATTCCTGTGGTAGGAGAATAACTGTCTTGTTTATTATATCATATCAGTTTGCCTTACACTAACTGTTTTGGTTTACCGGGTACCATATCTAGGTTGGGGTTTTTTTCAGTGTCAGTTGCACTGACTGATGTATCAGTCAATACAATGGTATCATAAGAACTAGAGTCCATGACTTCAGGAAACACTTAAGCTGCGAGGGTGAGAAATGTAGCAGAAATATTTGTATAAACTTTGCCTATAGCAGTACTGACAGAACCGGATATGGAACAACTGATTGATTTAACATAGCAAAAGGAGTACGACAAGAATATATATTGTCACCCTGCTTATTTAATTTATATGCAGTGTACATCATGCGAAATGCTGGCCTGGGTGAAGCACAAGCTGGAATTAAGATTGCCAGGAAAAACATCAACAACCTCAGATATGCAGACAATACCACTCTAAAGGCAGAAAGTGAAGAGGACCTAAAGAGCTTCTTGCCCAGGGTGAAAGAGGAGAGCACAAAAGTTGGCTTGAAACTCAAAACCAAAAAAACTAAGATCATGGCATCCAGACCCATCACTCCTTGGCAAATAGAAGGGGAAATCATGGAAGCAGTGACAGAATTCACATTCCTGGGATCCAAGATCATTGCAGACAGTGACTGCAGCCATGAAATTAAAAGACGCCTGCTCTTTGTAAGGAAAGCGATGGCAAAACTAGACAGCATAATAAAAAGTAGAGACACCACCCTGCCAACAAAAGTCCGTATGGTCAAAGCAATGGTATTCCCAGTAGTAATGTATGGCTGCGAGAGTTGAACTATAAGGAAGGCTGAGCGCCAAAGAACAGATGTTTTTAAAGTATGGTGCTGGAGAAGACTCTTGAGTCTCTTGGACTGCAAGAAGATCAAATCAGTCAATCCTAAAAGAAATCAAGCCTGACTGTTCCCTGGAAGGCCAGATACTGAAGCTGAAGCTCAAATACTTTGGCTACCAAATGAGAAGGGAGCACTCACTGGAGAAGACCCTGATACTGGGAAAGATGGAAGGTCAAAGAAGAAGGGGACGACAAAGGATGAGATGGTTAGACAGTGTTATCGATGCAGTGAACATGAAATTAAGCAAACTCCAGAGCATGACAGATGACAGGAAGGCCTAGCGTGATGTGGTCCATGGGGTCACGGAGAGTTGGACCCGACTGTGCGACTGAACAACATAGCAGTACTGATGTATGAAACAGAATGCTTTCTGTTCTGAATGTTTCAGACCCTTTTTTACAATGTGCATCAGCACAAAAACTACAGAGTATAGTCAAAGAAGCAAAAAGACATGTGAATGGGTTATCCCTACAAGTATTCATAATGCTCTTTAAATACTTACCTATGCTGTCTGGCTTCAGTGCATGAGCAGGAATTCACAGTGACCTTTATCAGGTAGAGATGTTTTTCATTGACTATCAAACACCTGTAGAATGTCTTTTACTGGTTTGCTTTCTGTTTTTGATCTTCTATAAATTCATCTAAAAAAAACTGTTTTCTCTGAGTTTTTGAACATGAAACTTTGAGCATATAACTCTGCAGTCAAATAGGTTCCAGTAGGAAGTATTGTCCTGTGTATGTTGCTCACGATACACAAAATTTACTTGAATTGACTTAATTTCATTGGCTTGAATTGGTTGAACTGGCTTAGGAACTAGGATGTTATAGCTTGCACTGTCCATCAAGAAGAATTTTTTTTTGCAATTCACAGTTTTTAACTGCTTTCAGGATTTATATCTATTCTACAGGTTTTGACAGGCAGCTTGATTCATAGGAACATAAGAGAAGCCAATGTTGGATCAGGCCAATGGCCCATCCAGTCCAACACTCTGTCACACAGTGGCCAAAAATACCAGGTGCCATCAGGAGGCCCAGCAGTGGGGTCAGGACACTAGAAGCCCTCGCACTGTTGCCCCACCCCCAAGCACCAAGATGACAGAGCATCACTTGCGCCAGTTTGAGAGTTCCTATCTATACCTTGAGGCTAACAGCCACTGATGGACCTCTCCTCCATATGTTTATCTAATTCCCTCTTGAAGCTGTCCATGCTTGGAGCCGCCACCACCTCCTGTGGCAGTGAATTCATGTCATCCCTCAGCCATCGTTTCTCCAAGCTAAAGAGTCCCAAGCGCTTTAACCTTTCTTCATAGGGAAAGTATTCCAACCCTTTTACCATTCTAGTTGCCCTTTTCTGCACTTTTTCCAATGCTATAATATCCTTTATGAGGTGTGGTGACCAGAATTGTACACAATACTCCAAATGAGGTTGCACTATTGATTTATACAGGGGCATTATGATACTGGCTGATTTGTTTTCAATTCCCTTCCTAATAATCCTGAGCATAGAGTTGGCCTTCTTTATTGCAGTTGCACACTGTCTCGACATTTTCATTGTGTTATGTACTACAACATCTCTCTCTTGGTCAGTATCTGCCAGTTCACAAACCAGTTAAAACAGAGTACCTTGACTTAAGCCAATTTAGACCCAGTTACTGGGCCATTGAGAGCTGCGGTGGCTCAAGTGGTTAAGACGCTGAACTGCAGGCTGTGGAAGGTCGGTAGTTCAGCAGTTCAAGACCTGAGTTGCCACGTGACGGAGTGAGCTCCTGTCTCTAGTTCCAGCTCCTGCCAACCTAGCAGTTCGAAAGCAAGAAATTGCAGGTAGATAAATAGGTAGATAAATTTACTTGCAAGAAATTGCAAGTAGATACATTCGGTTCTGTGCGCCTTGGTGTTTAGTCATGCCGGCCACATGACCACGGAAATGTCTTTGGACAGCGCTGGCTCTTCGGCTTTGAAATGGAAATGAGCACCGCAACTCTAGAGTCGGACCTTTTACTGGGCCATTAAATCTAAGTACTCCTGCACAACTGGTTAGTGACTTGGATGACAGGTCCTGACTGGAAATTGAGATTTTCATCCCAAGTGAAAATGGAGGAAGAAATCAGACTTGATTTTACATTTAAACAGAAAGATTTAATGGAGCTGACAAAAGGCAGGCTATCAAAGCATTAATGTACATGGCAGAATTATTAGAGCAATAATACCACTGTAGTTTAAGGAGGAAGAGAACAGCTAATTAATAGAAGCAAACAAGTCAAACTTATATTTTTGATCAATATCTCATATTTTAAAGAGTTTTTATAGTTGTCTAAGGATGAGGATTTATTTGACATCACACAGAAGGGCCACTCCTCTCAGTATCCAGTGATCTGGAGACACAGTTGTCCTTAGGTAGATTGCAGTGATGTAGGTCAAGTCAGTTCTCCTTGGCTTCTTGTAAATAGGGCAAACATAGAGTTTGGGATCTCTTGGCCCAGTCGTATTAATTGCAAATATATGCACAACCGGCAGTAGCGTAAAAAGAATCTTTGCTGTAGATTCAGTGAGTTTGTTATTTCGTCTGTCCCACCCAGCTCCATCCAAGTACAATCCATAGATATATACACCTTCAGCAGGGGCCGCTGTGATTTCTTCCCTAAAATACATAGAAAGGTATCTGTTCTTTAAAATTATGACACGACTGGGTAACTTGCAGGGTAGCCCTAAGCAATGTTGCAATCTTCCAACCTTACTGACTGCAATAGACCAAGAAAGATATAACTCTGCTTAGGATTGTACTGTTAGGCTTTTCTATATACAACATGGTGTAAATTAGCAAAGTTTGAAATTAAGGAAACTTGACTTTTAAAGTTTGTGAAATTGCAATAAATTGGAATGAGAAATGTTCAGATATTGAATTCCTCAAAATGAGGCAAAATAATCCACATTCTCTCTCCTTCAGTATAGATATATACCGTATATACATAGATATACATTGTACCACAGTCATGGTACACACAAAGAAAAGTGGATTTGATGTTGAGTTCCACCAACTTTTAGTCAATTGCCAGCACAAAGATTCTGTAATATGATAAATGTCAGTTACTCAAATTCAATTTTCTACCAGAAAAAAAAATACTTTTCAAATATTTGGATCACATGTACACTGAACATGTGTAGAGGAAAGCAGGACTATGCACACTAATCCTGCCTTTGTCCTTTGTTTATGCATGTACATAGAGCCCTGTGAAGAAACGTGAGGGCCAGTGGGCTATTAAAGCACAATATTGTAATCTTCACTATTTCACACTTTGTCATTACTATAAATGATAGGGAGGAAATTATTGCGTTGGACATATCATACAAAAATTACAGAAGAGGTCTTTCCCTGCCTTCATCCTCCAGGAGCCTGTTGCTTGACCTGAAAATCCTTTCTGAGAGTTGTGGGACCAACCCACAGTATGAGCTTGTTTATGAGCTTGTTGGATGACCATGTTTCAGGTATGTTGTAAGGTTATCTTTCGGCTATGCTCCTGCAGAGTGCAGGGGGTTGGACTAGATGACCTGCAAGAGCCCTTCCAACTCTAACATTCTATGATTCTATGAGGGTCCCTTGACATTCAGAAAAGATTTTCAGGACAAACAACAGGGTGCTGGGGAAAGAAGAAGGCAGGGAAAGATCTGGTCCACCAGGTTCTTATGTGAGCTCTTCTGCCGGATTCAAGCAACTGTCATTTTTTAAATGGAAAGCAAATATTATTTGGCATTTAGAACCTGACTCTGGAATGATCATAAAGTGTAATTTGTTGTCAAATCAATGCCTATATACACACATATATGTATACATATATAGATATGTTTTACACATACAGCAGGGGCCGCTGTGATTTCTTCCCTAACTTGTTTCAGCACTTCATTATGAATCGTGACTGTATCCAAAGCCCACCCTTTGTGCGCTCGAGTCACTTCTTGCCTCATAGCTGTGAGAAAACCTGCAAAGTCAGTGAAAAAACAAAGCAGGTGAATAATACAGATCCATCTGTTGTCTCCTCCTAAACTGCAGCAGTTGGTGACTAAAGCATTCAAGGTATAATAAGTTTACTGGAACACATTAATGACAGAAGCTGATGGAATAAATAAGGGAAAATGACACAAATAAGAAAAGCAGTGATGCAGACTTAGCTGTTGCTATTTATTTATGAGTTAATAGTAGCCCTATCCAGAGTTGCAGTGAATATTAAGGATTTCATCAACTGGGAAGCGTAATCAACAAAACACAGTGCTGGCCAAGTTATGAGAGGAGGCACAGTTGGGCTAAAGAGTTATGGTTGTTATTGGTCTGGATTGTATTTTATATCTGGACATCCCTAGTGCTTCCCATCTTAAGCCCACAGATGACAAACAATTCTTTTTGGAAGGAAGTATACTTCAGCAAAAGCTTTTATTTTCACTTAACTTGAAGCAAATTGATTTTCTTAAAAGTTAGGTGGTAGCACTCATAAATTCACCACACTACAAAGTGGTCATTCAGCCACTGAAAGTGGCACATGATTTATTATGTTTCATGGTCTTCTTGAGTTTTTCTGATAGTAAGTACCATTCCCCTTACTTATCCTTACACCTGCAAAGCTCCATTGGTGGGTAGAAACTGGCTGCTGAAAAAGGATGGACAATTCAATAAAGATGGCCAGGGTATGAGTTCATGTTTAACCCATTCTGTTCTGGAATTTTTGTCCAGGATGGGCCACTTGGATTGTAATGCAATGGTTTAACCCCCATCCGTCTAACAGATAGATCACATTACTCGCCACAGTGCACACAGCATTTTCTTTTTTAATGAAAAAATTAAATATTACAGTGAAAGTCATATAGCCAGTATTTGCCACTCGTAATTTAGAATGGACTACTCTTCTTTTATTTACAGGTCTTAAGGCACACATACCTGTTTAAATAATCCAACACTGATATAAATGGCAATGTCTTTTTGCATGAATTTGATGATAAATATGACCAGTTATTATCCCTTACATTATAAGACAGGTGTAAATTCTCTCATTATAGAATTGAAAAAAATAGGCTCTAACCTTTTTTGAATTTGCCCCTCTGCATGATCCCACTCTACCATTCACCACGTAATCAGGTACAGTAAATATAGTAGTTGAGTAAATGAAACTGTAGTTAAATATAGGCCCATGTATAATAATCTCCTAACACTGACCTTGAGGATTAAAAAATCCAGTCATCCAAAATACATGTGGCCTCCCTTCAAAAATCCAGATGCGAAACTGGTTGTTTCTCTCCAGTAGTTCAGTAAACCAGAATCCAAGTGTGGAAGAATCCCAAGATGCACGCTTCCACATTTGAGGTATTCGAGCATCATACATGTTATCAAGTGCATCTCTTAAATTCTGAAGAAATGAAAATAAAACACGTAAAATAGCTAATGACTCGAGATGTGTCCATTTAAAAAAATGAGTAGTCATTACAGATCTGCATTCAGATATTAGCTAATCAAAAAGTGAACTGAAAAGCTCCCATTTATTAATATACTTGTTAAACTTAATCCAAACTGAAAAAACCCAACAGTTGGTAATATTTGTAAGCATTCAGATCTGTCCAATCACTCTGATAGTTCAGTGACTCAGGGAGGGCTTTGCTCAATATAACCAGTGTCTCCTTTTTCCTGGAGTGACTCTGTTCTCTGATGTTTTAATCTGGTTTTATTCTGATATCAGATACGCATGCATGCCTTGTCATACAGGAAGTGCTACAGACTGGGATGGGTAGATACAAACAAATGTTATATTCTTCTTCCCAAGCAACAGACGGTGTTGCTGCTGGGATGAAAAGACAGAGGCAAGAGCTCTTGATGTCTGTGATTTTCCTAGAAAGCCGCCATAAGGAAATTATTTGGATCAAAGTCATGGTGCTGCAGTAGGTAGGGTTGAATATTTGTTTTCTTGCACTACTATTACTCTTGCAGAGGCAAATGATGGCAAGCCACCTCTGAACATCTCTTGCCTTGAAAACCACAAGAAGTTGCCATAAATCGGCTACAACTTGATGGCACTTTCTACCACCACTATTACTCTTCCACTGCTCTCACCTTCCCCTTGAGATACTGTTAACCCTGGTAGGGAATAAAGACAGGAAACTTTTTTTTAGTTAATTAATACAAGGATCAAACAAGATGGGATGTTGGGGGAGATCCATGTGCATTTATTCAAGTGTCTTTCCACTTACATCTAAACTTTAGATTCTAAAGGATGAGGTGAAGCTATGTTCAAACAAGAATGGACTATGAAAGGAACTAACAGTGCAATCCTACACACAGTTATACCATTGACTTCAATGGATTTAGAAGGTTATAGTTCTGTTTAGGATTGTGCTGTAAATCCTCCCCCTTCCTGCATCTTAACCTCTCTGCATTCTGGTGTTCTCAGCATTTTTCTTCTAGTACTGTTCCTATTTCAGAAAGAAGCCTGGCTTTGAGGAAAAAATGCTGAACAAAATGAAGCCCAGTGAGATAAGGTGCAGGAAAGGACACTGTTTACCTTTGCATACTTCATAAAAACAGGTTGCTTACCTGTAACTGATTATCTTCGAGTAGTCATCTATGCATTCACACCTATGGGAATAGCGCCAGCATTGATTCCAATCCTGGAAACTTCTAGAAAGCTCAAGAGATCTGGGGGCCCCTGCCCCAAGCACGCACAGGCCTCAACCGTGCATGCCCAGGGGGCGGCCCCCCAGCATCCCGCCAGTTCCTTCTGACTGCTAGAAACCTTTATATCAAACAGACTGAAAAGGCTGCCAGCAGTGAGGAAGGATGGGTGTAATCAGTTACAGGTAAGCAACCTGTTTATCTTCTTCATGGTCTCTATGTATCACACCTATGGGAGATTAGAAAGCTCAGTCCTACCTGGAGGAGGATGAAGGCAGCCATTCAGGAGACTGCAGACTGGAGCACTGCTCTGCCCACACTGTAGCGTCGACTAGCATGGACATCCAAGGCGTAATGCTTGATAAACGTGTTCGGGGACTTCCAGGCAGCCACTTGGCATATGTCCTCAAGAGGTACCCCCTCAAAAAAGCCGTCAATGTAGAGACAGCTCTCATAGAGTGCACCTTGGGTAACAACGGTAGAGGCACTTTCTCTAGGAGGTAGCAAAAATGTATGACTTCCACCAGCCATTTTGAAAGTCTCTGAGAAGAAATCTTGCGACCTAGGGACCTCAGTGCATAGGATACGAAGAGATTAGTATCCTTACGTGTCTCCCGAGTCCGTTGCAGGTAAAATAGTAGAGCCCTCTTGACATCCAAGGAATGCCACAGGCGGTCAACCTCCGACTGAGGGTCAGAGTAGAAATCAGACAGAAATAGTCATCTATTTAGATGAAATGCTGAGACCACTTTCGGTAAAAAAAGACACATCTGGCGATAGGGCTACTCCTTCCGGTAAGAACGTTAAGTATGGTGGGTCGTGATGTAACGCCCTTAGATCACTCACACATCCTGCAGAAGTTATAGCCACTAAGAACGCCATCTTCCACGCAAGCAGCCAAAGATCACAAGATGCTAATGGCTTGAAAGGCTTATGGGTGAGACATCGTAGAACTAGTGACAGGTCCCAGGATGGGGTAGGCGGGTTAGACGGGGGATGTAAATGTAAAAGTCCTTTAAGAAATCGTTTGGATTTCGGGTGGGCGAAAACCGAAACATTGTCCAATGATATATGATATGCAGATATAGCTGCTAAATAGACCCTGATAGAGGCATGACTAAGCTCTTTATCCACCAAGGACAATAGAAAATCAAATATGCATGGCAAACCCACCAAAGCAGGATCTACCTGTGTGGGGCATAGAAACTCCAAAAACCGTTTCCATTTGGATGCGTAAGATGTCCGAGTGGCTGACTTATTGCTATTAAGGAAAATTGAAACTACCCGGTCAGAGAAACCTTCCCTCGAATCCTCCAAGCCGTCAGTTTTAGGTTTGGGACGTCATGATGCAGGATCCACTCTTCAGCCATCAAGAGGAGGTCTGGTTATCTCGGAAAGTGCAGAAAGTGTGATTGGATAGGTTGAGAAACAACACAAACCACGGTTGGCAGGGCCACCATGGTGTCACCATTATACTGTTCACTCGTTGTCATAGTAATTTGCTGACTACCCTGGTCAGTAGAGGGATCAGGAAAACATGAACAGAAAACCCCCCATCCATGGTACCAGGAGACCATCTCCCAGAGATAACGGGTCTATCCCACCTCAACAGCAAAATTGGGCACATTTTGTGTCGTGCCAAGTAGCAAACATGTCTATGTTTGGGTGGCTCCATTGATGGAATACTGGGAGGAGGTACTTCCAATTGAACTCCCATTCATGCAATGGGGCTGCTCCCCTGCTCAAAGAGTCCACCATGATATTTTGGACTCCCTGAAGATGGGCTGCAGATGGCCACACATCGAGGATCAGACACCACTCCCACACATCTATGGCCAGCAAACACAGGCATCGAGAACGAGTTCCGCCCTGTCTGTTGAGATAGGCCAGAGCAGTCATGTTGTCCATCAGGATTGCCACCCGCCATCTGGAAACCATTGGCAGGAACAATCTGAGTGCATAAAATATTATCAAGAGTTCCAGGACATTGATGTGTGTGTCCTGGAGATCTGCGGTCCATGTGGATCCCACACAGCGACCGGTGAGGTGTGCTCCCCAACCCCAAAATCTGTGGTGATGGTGCATGTTGGGACCGGGAGTTGGAAGGGGGCCCCTCTCGTCAAGTTGGGAACCAAACTCCACCAAACCAAAGAGTTTCTGACATCCTCTGGCATCTTGAACCTTAGAGATTGTGGATGTCGTTTGGGGTTGAAGCAGTGGAGCAGCCAAAGTTGGAAAGACCAGTAGGCCCTGTAACATCAGGTGTGCCGCCACTACTGCCATTGATTTGGTGAAGACCCTCGGCGCTGCCGAAATACCGAATGGGAGAACACGATACTGGTAGTGGTTGTTTCCGATGGCGAATCTCAGGAACCTTCGATGCGCTTCCACGATATTCAGGTGGAAGTAAGCATCCTGCAGATCTATTGTGGCCATCCAGATCCCCTTTGTCAGGAGTGGAAGGATGTTTTGCAGGGAGACCATTCGGAACTTCCGGTAGTGATTGAATTTGTTCAGTAACCTGAGGTCCAGGATTGGCCGTAAGGTTCCGTATTTCTTTGGGATCACGAAGTATCGCGAATAAAACCTCTGTCCGTGCTCTGAGTGTGGGACCGGTTCTATGGCTCCCTTTGACAGTAGCTGATGGACTTCCCGATGGAGATCGGCAGATGCCCAGGTCTGGACAAAGTGTGGTGTCGGAGGTGACTGAATGAACTCTATGGCATAACCGTGGTTTATAATGGAAAGGACCCAGGAATCTGATGTTATGAGGTTCCAGGTGGAACGGAACCCTCCCAGGTAAGTGGAATGGGGTGATGAAGTAAGGAAAGAGCGTACCGGTGAGTTAAAGAGACTGATTGGACCCCTTGCCCCCCTTTGGCTTGGCCTGTGTTTGAGTAGGTTGGTATTTAGGCCTTTGGCCATATTGGAACCTGGAAGAGGCAGGGGTTTGTTTGGCCTTCCACGAATCATCCAGAGATTGACAATAATATGGTTTACGGTTGGACCTAGACCATGATCATGGCCACTGAGGACGGTAGGAAGATGTGACTCCAAAGCTCTTGGACGCCTTCAAGCTCTTATCCATGTCCTGCAACACGGCATGCGTGGTGGCATGGAACAACCCCGCCCCATCAAATGGCAAGTCCTCTATAAAAGACCTAGTGTCTGACTGGAGTGTGGTCGTGCATAGCCAAGAGTGACGGCGGACCGCTACAGCTGACGTCATGGTTTTGGATGCCGTGTCCACAGCATGCTTCGCGGAATTGATTATCTGCTTTGAGAGCAGCATTCCCTCCTTCTGTAGTTTGCGTGCCTCATCACGGTGCTGTTCGGGGACCAGAGCTAGGAACTTGGTCAACTGTTCCCAGAGGGAATATTCATATCGTCCCATACACACCAAATAATTTGCCATTTTAACTCCCAGGGCACCTACAGAATAGAACCGCTGGCCGAAGTTGTCTAGCTTCTTACTTTCCTTGTCCGATGGCACTGAGTGTGTCTTCCTGCCCTTCGAGGAGAGAGTGACCACCATTGAATTTGACTTTGGGTGTGTGCATAAAAATTCTGCTCCCCCCTCTTGTATATGATACATGTGGTCTAGGCATTGTGTAGAGATTGGGTTGGAGAAAGGCCTGTCCCAATGCAATTTTACTGCCTGGAGCAACACCTGTGTCATAGGCAGTGCCACTGGGGTAGATGTATCCAGTTGAATTATATCAAAGACCGCATCCGTGACCTCCGGTTGGGACTGCACCACAGCCATTCCCAAAGTGTGAGCCATACGCTTAATAAGGTCGCCATACGACCTTACATCCTCAGAAGGGGAGATCGGCAGATCATCTGCAACTAACTGAGAGGGTGATGGGTTGGCGGGACCAGGAGGTGGTTCCGACCCTTCCCTGTCCGAGTCCGACCCCGATGGTGGAGAAGAGACCTCAGGGGAATGTGGAGGCAACTGCACTGGGCTGTCCAACTGCTGTAGGGCCCCCAGCGTCAGTGGCAACTGTCGATGTCGAGGAGTTGATACCAACGGCTTCGGCACCGATTGGCATGGACCTGGGTCACACTGCTTGGCCTGAGTTTCAACGTCCAGAGAAGGTGGTCCCCTGCCTGGGGAATGGCCTCGATATGACCTGGTAGATCGATCATCCCCCTCATCACGACGCTATGGAGTCAGCCGTGGTAAAGTGGAGGTGATTAGGAAGGAACCATGTAAGTATTGTAACTCTCTATGGTCCCACGGTAACATCACTGGAGGCTTTGCAATCTGAGGAAGTTGGCCTTGGAAAGCTTGTGTAAAGCGCGCTGGTGGCGAAGCACTGTCCTCTGAAGACGAATGGTAGGCGATTCGGCTACGTTTCCGTCAATACTGATCCTCGATATCGATGGGTGATCGGGATCGAGATCTTCGCCTGACATGAGGGCTAGGAGGTCCCATATGCTTTGGGGGTAATACAACCTCCTCCACTTCTGAGTCGGTAACCATCGGTATCGATTCAGTCGGTGCCGATCGTGGAATGGGAGACTCCAGAAGTCTCAACGGTAGGGCCGCAGACACCTTGGTAGTATCTGGGGAGCCCAGGCATGGTGGTCAATGTCGCGGTCATAAACGGCTGCACCACCTTTGAAGCCACGCTCTTCGTGCCCACCTTATGATGCTTGTGTTTCACCTTTGTGTGGGCCTTCTCCTTTTTCTTCTTCTCCCCTGGCCTGGGCGTCAGGGACCGGTCCTCAGGAGCAGTTAGGAGCACCATTGACTCAGAAGCTGCGTCCAACGACTTAGCAACCTCCTCTGGTGTTTGATGTCGATCCTTCGACGTTGATCGATGTCAAGCCACCAGCACCAACTGAGGCCGTTCCGCTGTGTTCTCCCTCACACTTTTGGACATGGATGCCATAGGTTGCGGGGACAAGGCCAACTCTAGTAAGGCCACACGTAATCTTGCTGCTCTATTTTTTCTAGTTTGGTTGGAGAACTTAGCGCAGTGGATACAAGAGTCAGGTTTATGCACTTCTCCCAGGCAAACCAAACACAGCGAGTGGCCGTCGGTTGGCGTAGGTTTGTAGCCGCAACGAGTACAATGTTTAAAAAACCCCAGCACTTTGCCATAAGTAACAATCGTGTGAGGTAAAGAAAAAAATTCCCACCCCAAGGGAGGCGCGGTTCTGACAACAGCCAAGAACCCCCAACTAACTAAACTGAACAAAACTAACAACTATACTATTTATTTATTTATTTTTGAAGAAAAAGAGCTGAGGAAAAGAAGATATTTCTTCCCCTCACAGAAGTTCCCAGACCGGCACAGACACAGCTGATCAACGTGGCAGTCAGAAGAGAACTGGCGGGATGCTGGGGGTCCGTCCCCTGGGCATGCACGGTGGAGGTGCCCCCAGATCTCTTGAGCTTTCTAGAAGTTTCCCGGATCGGAATCGACACTGGCGCTATTCCCATAAGTGTGATGCATAGAGACCACGAAGAAGATATAAAGTTACATATAGAAATCTGTTTCTAAAATCAGTGAAGAAAGGAATAGACTAACTAAAAACAATCGCTTTAAGAGCAAAGTTTAACAAAACTGAATCATGTTTTAGAAAAATAAAAGTAATGAAAAAATGTGTACATCCTAGTAATTGTCCATAACAATGAAGTGCTTGGTTACCTCACTCATAATTATAGTTCCTTCAATGGCTAATTTAAGATCACTCAGACTGTTCCGAACTATTGTGATTATTTTTTGCATTCGGTCAATTTCTTGTCGAAGAAAAATATTCATAGAATTGAGATGTCCCATTTTAATTAAGCGAGCTTTAACCTAAAAACAGAAAATGAGAAGTTAGTCAATAAGGCATTTAGAGTAGTAGTAACAAAATAATTATATTTTTTAACTTGGAAAAACAGCAGACTTCCTATTTATGATTAAGGGGGGAAAACCTTAACAATTCAAAGAGCTATCAAAGTATTTTATTGCTAGCAAGTCACCTTTACTCTCAACTGAATCCAACACAGGTTCTGCCAGTAGTCCCTGTACATGGGCACTATGACCAAAATCAAACAGAAGTAGTAGCACTTTAAAGACTAAGCATGACCATTTGTTTGTCAGTGCTTACTTATCCTTGGGGGTACATTTCAGGCTGTTGGGCGAACAAGAAAATTATACTGCTTGTGCCCCCTGAAAACATGTGGCCTGGACTGAAGCCACTGGCTCCAGCTAGATCCTGGTTCTAATCCCCACTCTGCCACGGAAGCTGGCTGGGTGACCTTGGGCCAGTCACTCAGTCTCAGCCTAATCTACTTCACAGAGCTGTTGTGAGGATAAATTGGAGAAGGTTGTAAGTGGTTTTGGGTCCCATTTGGGGGAAACAGGCAAGGTAGAAATGAAGCAAATAACTAAAACCCAGTCAGATGGTACAACAAGCATGAGGTCTGCTTTTTATACTTGCACATTTATGTCTGCAAGGGAAATGCATGCAAACTCAGCTGCGCTATATGGAATCAGACCACTGGTCCATCTAGCCCAATATTGTCTACTTTGACTTGGTAGCAGGTGCCCAGAGCCCTAGTCTGGGATCTATGAAAACCCTTCTACTTCTTTAACCCGAGGCTAGATCTGTTAACTTGTGCCTTTTCTATCATTGAGGTAATAACCCTCTCTTGCCACTTCACTACATGTGATTCAAATACAGTACAATTCATGGATCCCAGTCTAAACAAATAAAAATATCCTGACAATCATAGGCAGCCTGCTCGCTAGAAAAACAAGGCCCCTTATCCTGGAGTCCAATGCCATAGACAGTACCAAGCAATTAGATGCTGACAGCAGCAGAAGCATCAGCATTATTCATGGATGGTGACAGTCAAGCAATGAGAGAGGGAACCTGGAAGCAGAATGTAAGGAAGAGGTGGAACTAAGGTAACGTAAGTCCTTGTGAGAAGTTAGGGCAAGGGGACTGCTCTAGTGCAAAGATTAAATGTATCCACATAACAAAACAATACAGGCATCACAGAAAATTCACCAAAAATGGAATCGAGGATAGATCCAATCATATTTGCTAAAGAACAGGTCAATTGAACAAGATTTCCAAGTAAATGTGCAGGTCTGTAGTACCAAGGTGACACTAAGACAGAGAACCACTTAAACCACTACAATAAAAAAGGCCAACACTATGCTCAGGATTATTAGGAAGGGAACTGAAAACAAATTAGCCAGTATCATAATGCCCCTGTATAAATCAATGGTGCGACCTCATTTGGAGTACTGTGTACAGTTCTGGTCACCACACCTCAATAAGGATATTATAGCTTTAGGAAAAGTGCAGAAAAGGGTAACTAGAATGATAAAAGGGTTGGAACACTTTCCCTATGAAGAAAGGTTAAAGCGCTTGGGGCTCTTTAGCTTGGAGAAACAACGGCTGAGGGGTGACATGATCGAGGTTTACAAGATTATGCATGGGATAGAGCAGGTAGAGAAAGATGTACTTTTCTCCCTTTCTCACAATACAAGAACTCGTGGGCAAACAATGAAATTGCTGAGCAGTTGGGTTAGAACAGATAAAAGGAAGTACTTCTTCACCCAAAGAGTGATTAACACACGGAATTCACTGCCACAGGAGGTGGTGGTGGCTACAAGCATGGACAGCTTCAAGAGGGAATCAGATAAACATATGGAGCAGAGGTCCATCAGTGGCTATTAGCCACATGGTATAGATAGGAACTCTCAGACTGGGGCAAGTGATGCTCTGTATTCTTAGTGCTTGGGGGGGGGCACAGTGGGAGGGCTTCTAGTGCCCTGGCCCCGCTACTGAACCTCCTGATGGCACCTGGTATTTTTGGCCACTGTGTGACAGCGTGTTGGACTGAATGGGCCATTGACCTGATCCAACATTGGTTTATCTTATGTTCTTATGTAAAAAGCAAGATGCGCATTTCAGGTGGGTATCTATTTTGGTCCGAAACAGCAGAACAAAGTTTGAGTCCAGTGGCACCTTTAAGACCAACAAAGTTTTATTCAAGGTGTGAGCTTTCATGCACGCACACTTCCTCAGACACATTGATATGGAAGTTATCAGTCAATACATGTAGGTAGAGTGTGAACAGTAAAATAGCATACAACATAATGAAGATGTTTTAACAGATGTGAGAACCAAACAGGAATAACAGGCTAAGTTTATATGGTCACCATTTGTTTGGATTCAATTCCGGGGGGGGGGCACAGTAAGGCAAATAAATATGCCAAAATTGGAGACTGATGTATAATTGTCTCCTTCTTAATTGTGGGATGCTTAGAGTAATTAACTGAGACCCTGTTGTTACACTCCATCCATCTCCATCTCCTCTCAAGCATGGAGGTAACTAACAGCACCCTATTCTTTCTATATATGTGTTTATCTAAAACGTTGTGTCAGGCTATGTTACATGTACAGGGTGGGAAATCATGAGAGTAAGGACTGAAGAAAGCAGTTGAATCCATAAACCAGTCACTACAATAATTTAATGCTTTAATACAGTCTGAGCATCAAATGACTGATTTTAGGCAAAAAGGTCTTGCAGTCCACAAAGCATTTCTGCTGCACTATCTCCTTTTATTCCAATGGGGAGTCCCTGAGAAGAGCACTCAGTTGCCTGAATCCTCAGTCAGTAGATTTTATGATCATCTATGACCAGATATATAAGGGAATGACTAGATAGTTAGTGCGAAGAAAATGCAATTATTGTGTTCTTGTGTTTTACTTAAAGATTTGTAATCTGTTCATTGTGGTCGATGCATGTACCTATTAAATTTTAAGAGTAAGTTCTGCAGCTATATGCTACATTTAATAAATCCTTTACAGGTTATTTTCAGGATAAACAAAATACAACTTTGTTACTACTTTTATTCTTTCATATTGCTTCTGGAAGAATCTTATAATTTGCTTTTTTCATTGTTTTTCATTGTCCTTGAAGAAACCACTGAATTTTTCATTGGCAGCACACATGCCAAATTTTTGCAGCATCTTGACTATAAAAAGAGAATTATTCACTAATAAGTACAGTTGTCTGAAGTTACTATAATCTGGGGAAACACATGACCTTTGATGTGATATATGGCATCAAGGGAACCATTCTCATTGGAAATTGATTAGCTAATAATTTTTCCTCAAGGTACAGCCATTAGATGTACATCCAGCCAAATTCCTGTTCTAACATAATAAAGAAGATATGATATTCCTTTTATGCAACACCAGAGGATTCCCTGTAGCAGAATATTTAGACATTATCTGAAATGGGATTATATTTGCAAAATCTTCACCTCTTGGTAAAGGGTCCACTAATTTCAGCAACTGATTAGAATGACACTATGAAAAAGGGCAAAGATGTTTTCCCATTCAGAGTGTAGGCATGAAGAACTGTCCTCATTTTAAACTGTCTTCATGATATCATCAGATAGTTAAATCTGACTGGCTGTCATGATATCGTGATGCTGCCTATGTGTTTTCTGATTGATCGGTTCTTTCTAGAAAAATACCTCTGTTTTTAAGAAAAACTAAACCAAAACTGCAGATCAGGAAAGGAAGGAACTGTGAATAGGGTACAAAGATGTGAGCCACTTTGATAGATTTTCCTCGAATGGATTTGTATTAACTTAGCACCTGCCTGTTCTTATTCAAAAGACTTTATTTCAACATGAAATATGAGTTTTGCTTTTCTAGAACTCTGAGATGTTTCCGTCCATTACGGCCTCCTGCTCACAGCTTCCCCTTTACACTACAGCCATTAAGTTTTTAATTGCATAATGTTCATAGATGAATGCCATTTCTAGCAATTCAGTGTTTTTCACAGTGCAACTTCCAGACCAACCAGAAGCCACAACTGTTCCATCAGTCTGCTACCATAAATTAATATTTTCATGTCTGTGATTTTAGGAAAGCCCTCACAAGAAATTTAAAACAATCACCTCATGGGGTACATAATCCGGAGGTAGTTTCTCAAGCATATCTTCAGCTAATCGATAGACAATGGCTTCTCGAGTTTCTCCTACTCCACCTCCGCTTTCTTTTGGCTGAATATTTGTTATGGTGTTCAGAACATCAGCCGCTGTATTACTCTGATACCTGAGGGTAATTTTAAATATTATATAATAACTAGAATGTCCAAGCCCAGTAGATGACTTACCAAGAGATAGTAAATAAAGAGATCCCATTTGTTCTAGAAGGAGTTGCAAAGGGGAAATAGAACCAGTTTTCTACCACATCTTTGGATGCTTTATTCTTATTCTTACAAGCTGATATTCCCTTGCTTCCCTTACCCATAGCAGTCTCCTGAAAGTAAGAGGATTACTTTACCCAATTCCCTCTACTGACTACAGCCCCCAAGCTATGGAGCATTTTTGTTTATGAGAGTTCTTCAACCCTCAGCACGGAACATGGAGAGAGGCACTTTGGGAAGGGGAAAGCAGGGAAGACATGCTTGCATGAACTCTTGTACCTGTGTAAAAGTCTGGATCCAACCCAATGTATATAAACTATACATTTAGAAATTCCTCGTACACAAGTAGCCATACCTTTTTTAAAAAAACTATGTTTTATTTAATATCTTTCAGAACAAAATGAAACATATACAACACTCTAAAATCACACAGAAAGAAAAACTAGCTTAACTATGTAACATGTTTCCAAGACCTGTGTTGTTAGATGGCACAAACCTTAAGTTCAAGAGTCAAAGGACTTAGCTTATGCATTCTCTATGTTGCTGTCTATTGCCATATGAGCATATCATAGTCCAGGCCTTTAGTTCATCAGAATCCAAGCTAGCCTCCTTTCTCCAGGCTCTTAGCTCAATTGTAGTTTTTTGGCCAAGCAGCATCAGGTGATGATGACACCCAATCAGGACACGTTCTTGCTGAAACCTTCTAGAAATTTACCTCATTACTCTTGAGTCCCCACTTCTATCATATAGGCTGCAGGTTCTCATGAGAATCTAATTACCATATTTCCAACTCTAACCATGAAGATGATAAGGGCTATGTCATGGCATTGCTGTTCTGATTCAAGCCCGTAACCCTGCCTCCTTAAGTGATATGGTGTTTTTTACTGACTAGCTTGCAGCTCAACTTCAGGGCAACCAGAAGGGGCTGAAGCCATGGAAGCTGGCTGCAGAGAGGAAGGAAGGACTGTGCTCCAGATGTTTTGAAGAGAGCAGTCGAGCAAGCTTTGCCAGTCACTCTGGCAGGCAGAGTCCTGGGCTGATTTTGCACTAGAGCTGCCTCGATGTTGCACCGCCATTTGACCCGATACTATTGGTCAATTTCACACCCGAAGCTACGGGGCTGCATTTTGACTCGCTGCTTCGCCCGATTTCCCCCGCAATTTCGTAATCCTGTTTTTTGAGGATCATGAAACTGCGGACGAAATCGGGCGAAGCCGCAGGTCAAATGCAGCCCCACGGCTTCGGGTGTGAAATGGACCAATAGTATCGGGGCAAACAGCGGCGCAACATCGAGGCAACTCTAGTGCGAAATCAGCCCTGTTTTCTCCTGAGACAACAAACCAGGGGTGACCTCCACACCCAAGATGGAATGCTATCACTGTCATGAGAAGGGACAGCTCAGCCATGACTGTCTGAAGCTGGTGCCAAAGGAGAAACAGCCTGCATTGTCATTTTTGTCACTCATTTGTCCCTATTGCTTTGGGTTTCCCTCACCTTTTTCACATGTGTTTTGCTCCCTCTAGGACTATTAGACAGAGCAAAACACATTGCGGGGGGGGGGACCCTGAAGCAATAGGAACATACAAGTGATGAAAATCGGGATGTGGAAGAGCCCTGAGAGGGGAAAGATAGCTGACAGCCCCCTTAGTGAAACCTCTGAAGGAAGAACTTCTGCAAGCTGTGACACCAGTAAGCTCTAATCCCTTCCCCGAATCTCAGAAAAGCCAGACTGAGTTGGGAATGACAGCAAAGGGGGAGACCAGGGGCTTTCTGGCATCTGAAGCTTTTAAGGAAGCACAGAATGAGTGTGACTCTCTCAAAGACCGCCACTTGCAGGCTGAGATGATACTGAGAGAGCTGAATGAAGTGGCAACAAGTAGATTTGTATGGAAGAAGGAACTGTTGTATAGAGAATATCTCCCTAAGAATTATCCAGAACGGACTGAGCATGTGAGACAGCTGGTCATACCTCAAAGATATAGAGAAGAAGTTTTGAGGGTGGCCCATGGCACTCCCTTTGGTGGACATCTAGGCATAAAGAAAACCCTGGCATGGATTTCCAATTCATTCTACTGGCCAGATGTTATCAAAGGATGCAAAATTACCGCAGCACTTGTAAGATCTATCAGAAAGTGGGATTTCCACAAGATCACCGTAAAGTGCCTTTAAGACCTTTTCCCATGGTTAGCCAGGTTTTCCAGTGAATCTCTATTGATATTTTGGGACCTCTGCCAAAGACCAAATCTGGAAGACAATTCATCTTGCTGGTGGTAGACCATGCATCTCAATTTTTGTCAGCATTCGCAGCCTCTAATATTGCCCAGGCCGTGTTGGAGTTTAGTTCAACGTTTGGATGGCCTGAGGTCATAATCTCCAATCAAGGAACAAATTTTACCTCTAAACTAATGCAGAAAGTTTATGAACTGGTGGGGATTAAGCACACCCCTGTTGTGGCTTATCACAAATGCACAAATGGACTGGTGGAGAGGTGTATGCAGACACTGGGCAAAATGCCAAAGGCTTATGTTATGGAGAATCCAGGGAGATGGGATGGGGCACTCCCTTATCTTGTGTTTGCCATTAGAAATGCCCCTATAGCCAGCCTGGGATGGCACTCCCCTAATGAGTTAATTTTTGGAAGAAGGATTACTGCCCCCCTGCAACTACTCAAAGCTACTTGGGAGGGGAGTCAGATGTCAGTGCCACTAGTGCCACAGAAAATCTGGCAAGGTTAAAGCAGATGCTGGAGCAGGTCAGAAAGGTGGCTGAGTTCCTTAAGCAGGCTCAAGTTCAACAGAAGGTCTATTATGACCAGCATGCTAAGCCTAGGAGCTTGGCTGTTAGGGATAAAGTCTTAGTCTTGAAGCCTGATGATGTAGCCAAGTTAGAGGCTGCATGGGCTGCTCCGTATTGTGTGTTACAAAACTTGGAGAAGGAGAATTATTTGATCCAGGAAATGGGTTCAAATAAAAAGATTCTGGTTGTTCACATCAACTGTCTGAAACTGTTTTGAGAGAGGGCTGGCCAGATGTTCCCAGTGAAGGCTACAGAGGGGGAGGAACTGTGTTTGCCTGAGTTACTGAATGAGAGTGCAGGAGCTGAAGGGTTGGAGCAACTACCGAGGGCCTCCACCTTGTCACAGCAGCAGCAGAATGAACTGAAACAAATGTTGAGCTGTTTCCAGCCTCTTTTCTCTAACATGTCTTGCTGGACTGACAATCGTCCATCATATAGAGACAGGGGCCCATGCACCAATAAAATCCAGTCCTTACCCACTGAATGGGCCCATGAAAGAAATCATGGCTGCTGAGATTCAACAAATGTTGAAGTGAGGGGTGATCAAGAAGTGGGGAGCACCTATAATTATCCTGCCAAAGAAATGTTGAAGTGAGGGGTGATCAAGAAGTCTCACTCTGAGTGGGGAGCACCTACAATTATCCTGCCAAAGAAGTTGTCAGAGGATGCCCCCACTGAATATCATTTCTGTGTGGACTTCAGAAAGTTAAACAAGATAGGTAGCCATGTTAGTCTGTCTGTAGCAGCAGAAAAGAGCAAGAGTCCAATAGCACAATCAGTTACGATCTTTTGACCTACCACCTCACTGAAATAGGGTTCAGGTGTCTGCCTTACAATGGTTTTCCTCCTTTCTCCATGAGCAGCGACAGAGGGTGGTGCTTGGTGGGGGAGTATCCCTGTGAGACCCACTTGAACTTGGAGTGCCGCAGAGGGTGATTCTCTCACCAATGTTATTCAACATCAATATGTGCCCCCTCACCCAGCTGGTCCGGGGGTTTGGGCTGAGATGTCATCAGTATGCATATGACACCCAGCTCTATCTGTTGATGAATGGCTGCCTGGACTCTGCCCCAGAAAATCTGACCAGGGCATTGGAGGCCATGGCTGGATGACTACAGCAGAGTCGGTTGAAACTCAGTCCAACTAAAATGGAGGTCCTGTACCTGAGTCGGGGGGGGGGGAGTTGGGTCAGGAATCAGGCTGCCCCCCTTGGATGGTGCATTACTTGTGTCAGCTCAGAAGGTGAGAAGCCTGGGGGTGGTTCTGGATGCCTCACTTTCTATGGAGGCCTAGGTCGCCACAGTTGCTAGGTCTGCCTTTTATCATCTTTGGCAGATCAGGCAGCTGGTCCCTTACCTCCCCCCCCCCGCAAGGACGTGGCTATAGTGACCCATGCAATGGTCACTTCCAGGCTTGATTACTGTAACTCACTTTACGTGGGCTTGCCCTTGCAGATGATCCAGAAACTCCAGCTGGTGCAAAATGCATTGGTGTGACTGCTGACTGCATTGCCTGTTTTAACTGATTATTATTGTGTTGGGCAGCTGAATGGCCTGTTGTTGCGATCCACCCTGAGCCCATTCGCGGGGAGGGCGAAATATAAATTTGAAAAATAATTAAAATAAATAATTAGCACCATAAAAACTGGAAAAGGAGGGCCTGGCTTTGGTTTGGGCCCTTAGCAAGCTGAAGCCCAGGGTTGCCAGCCTCCAGGTGGGGCCTGGGGAACTCCCGCTTTTACAACTGATCCCCAGATGACAGAGATCAGCTCCCCTGGAGAAAATGGCTGCTTTGAAGGGTGGACTCTATGGCCTTGTACCATGCTAAGGCCCCTCCCCTCCCCAAATGCTGCCCTCTCCCGGATCCACCCCCAAAGTCTCCAGCTATTTTCCAACCCAGACCTGGCAACCCTACTGATGCCGTATCTGTGTGGTGTTAAATTTGTTGTGGAAATGGACCATAACCTCTTGTCCTTTATTCATAGGATGGAGGGAAACAATGCCCAGATCCTAAAGTAGGTTTTGAGTCCATGGGATTTTAGTTTACCTTATGCTGCTATGAAAACCTTGATCTACCTCACTTAATAGAATTGTAGTTGCTTTGCCAAGGTATGTAAGCTTCAATCATGGTTTGGGCCATGAATCTCAGCTTTTCCTAGTTGGCATATGAGGCAAAGCACCCCTGATTCCTCTCAAGGGTTAATGTGAATAGTAAGGGGCTTATTCCATCTTGTAAGTGTTGCTAATTGGGTCTCTCTGCCTACCCCGAGACACATAGCCCTTATCATCTTCAAGGCCAGAGCTGGAAATGAGGTAATTAGCTTCTCATGAGACTCTGCAGCCCATAGGATAGGAAGGGGAAATCAGGAGTGATGAGATAACTTTCTAGAGGGTTTCAGCAAGAATGTGTCCTGATTGAGTGTCATCATCACCTGATGCTGCTGGGCCAAAAAAGCTATAATTGAGCTAAGAGCCTGGAGAAGGGGCTAACTTGGATTTTGATGGACTTAAATTAGGGTTGCCAGGTCTCTACCTGGTATCCAGCAGGGGTTGGAAGCTCTGTGTCTGGGAGCTTTGCACGTGCACCGCAATGACGTCATCCAGGTGTGATGTCGCGCCGGGCATGCCATCGAGGGATGCTCTAGAGTTTGGCTTTAAAACTTTATGGTACCATAGAGTTTTAATGCCAAACACTAGAGCATCCCCCAATGACGCGCCTGGTGTGATGACATCACCTCCAGGTGACATCATCACGCCAGGCATGTCAGCCTGATTCCGGCACCTTGTGGGTGGGGTTCCCCCCAGCAGCTGGATCTGGGCCGGCGGGTTGGGGACCTCTAGAGTGGGCAAACCCCACCCCCCAAGGGAACCTGGCAGCCCTAACTTAAGGCCTGGACTATGATATGTCCATATTGCAATAGACAGCAACACAGAAACACACATAGGTCCACAGGGTTCAGCCTTGAACTCCTTGACACAGGCCCTGATCCCAGATTCTGTGTCCATGTTAGGAAATGTGTTATTGTGGGTGAGAAGTTGTTTAAGGTTAGAAGGCTGTCTGTGGGCAAGAAAAGATTTCCCTCCCAATGCCTGTGAGAGAGGACAATTATTGTCTAGCAGAGGTTGCAGATCATTAGGTTACATTAGCATTGAACTGGTTTGACTTGAGAGCTGTATGTGACCTCCAAAGGTGTTCTGTTGTTTCATTTGGACCTATCTTGTAGCAAGTTATCTTGGAATTATTCTGGCTTTGTTGATGTGTTTCCTTACTATATCAGGTGGATATAGTAATTCCAAAAAATTCTGTTGTAGATCCTGCAAGTGAGAATTTCTATCAGGGGTTAGAACAAATGCAACTGTAGACAATGGATTGTTTGGTGTGTTTAGGATGGTGATAGGAGGTGTGCAGATATGTTTGGAAATCAGTAGGTTTCTAGTATAAGATAGTTTTTATGCTTTCATTATATCTTTCTACAGTGGTGTCTAGAAAACGTACTTCAGTATGGATTGATTCACGACCAGTTTGATGGTGGTGTGGACATTGCTGAAGGCCTGGTAAAATTTCTCTAGTGCTTCTTTCCTATGATTCCAGATGATAAAAATGTAATCAATAAATCTCAAGTACAAGAGGGGTATTAATGGATGGGAGCTGAAGAAGTACTGCTCCAGGTCAGCCATGAAAATGTTGGCATATTGTGCTGTCATTGATCTGAAGGAATAAATCATCACCAAATCTGAAGCAGTTGCCAGTGAGGACAAAATGGCAGAGCTTTGTAGCGAGGTCAGCTATGGAGCCATGAAAATGTTGGCATATTGTGGTGTCATTGATCTGTAAGAGATGGTGTTCCTGATGGCTTGTGGTCCATCTTTGTGGGGGATGTTGGTATACATGGTGGCCAAAACAGTACTAGCTGCAAGACTGTCAATGGGTTGTATTCTTTTCAGGAAGTCTGTGGTGTTGACCACATAATTGGGGGCATTGATGGCATAGGATCTGAGAATGGAGTCCATATATTCAGACATCCCTACAGTGATGGTGCCTATGCCTGAAGCAATAAGATGTCTGGGGTATTTTGGGCAAAACACAGAAAGTGTCTGGTTGAGGTTCTTGTCAGTGTCCATATAAATCTCTTCCTGTATATGTGTAGGTAATTCATTCATAATCCTGTTTAGTTCTTTTTGATATTCTTGAGTGGGGTCTGGGATAGTGGCTTGTAGAAAGTGGCACTGGAGAGTTACCTTTCGGCCTCCTGAATGTAGTCTGATTTGTCCATGATGACAACTGCCCCTCCTTTGTCAGCTTCTTTAATAATGATGTCTGGATTTTTTCTGAGGCTGTTTATTGCATATCTTTTGGTGTGGGTGAAGATGTGATGCGAGAGATGATGTTCCTTCATCATGTCAGTTTGGACTCAGCTGTGAAAACATTCTGTGTAGAGATCTAGAGTGACATTGCAAGTGTTGGGGGTGTCCATGTAGAGTCCTTTTTCCTGTAGAGTTGGGTGGGCAGCAATTGGTGGCCAATGTGTTGTCTTTTGGTGGGCTGGAGAGATGGCAACTGTTCAGCAGTAGAATATGCATCCTTATGTTGTAAAGATGCATCAATTATCTGTTCTGAGGCTTGCTCAAAGTATTCTGTCAGATGCAAACAGTGAAAAAAGGCCTCCAAGTCACTACAGAATCAACTGTTTCATCCTGTCTTTTTCCTTGGCAACATCCCTTCCATCTTCTGACTGGGATATAAGAACTGAGCCTGCTTTGTCGGGGAGGGCGGAGTATAAATCAAATAAATAAAGAATAAAACTCAGGGATCTTCCATTCCTACTTGTGTCTGATGAAGGGAGCTTTGAGCCTGACCATTCATGAAGAGATAAATAGTTCTGGTACTTGGAGTGGCTCTGGGAGAATAAAGCACCTCCAGACAATGCAGAAGTTGGTAATTTTCTATTTAAAACATAATCTCCACATTTCTGAGTTCTTTGGGCTCTTGCCCCTTTTTACCTAGTTCTGGATGCTGGCCGATTATTCCCATGTACAATGCCTGCAGGTTAATAGTTTGTATTGTATACTGTATGTAAACAAAGAAGATCAGAGGCATGTAAATGTTCCAAATGAAGTTTAAAGAGATACCCACTTACAAATTTTGAATTTAAATATCAAAGTCTAAAAAACTTGGATCAGATAAGGAAAAAAGTGTAGGAGAAAAAAACTTAATGCTACTGTTCATTCTCAGAGCTGTTCAGTGGGTAGCCTAAATAAAATGAGCATTCTGGATAATAATCCCATACCATTAGGCACTACATACATAATTCTGATGCACAAGTGATTTTGTGCTAGGCATCATATATGATCATAACCTCCATAACATGCCCTGCAAACTAGAATTCATGATAAAAATGAAACTGGCAAATGCTACTATCCTTAATACTTTTACATCTTAGGGCTTCTCCTCACATTACTTCTGAAAGACATGGGTGTAATTGCAGAATGCAGCATGCTTGAATGACGACAAAATGTCAAAACCATAATACATGTTATCATATAATACAAAATGTCAAAGCTGTAATACGAATAACTATGTAGGAGATGATCTTCGGTCATGGAAACTGAGACTGCACTTGTGTCTTTCAAAAGTAATTCAAGAAATAGTCCTTACTGTGCCCATCAAATTGGAGTGTGAGGAAATATATAAAACTTCTGTTCACACAGTAAAACTTTTGAATCCCTTGGACCATTATATCAATAGCATATTTGAGAATCAATTGTATAGAACTTGTTAAACAAATCTTTTAATCAATTTTTACAATCCTAGAAGTGTTAAGCATGAACATCATGCAAATTAAAATTCATAATGGAATTACAGGAACTCCAGAAAAACAAGTAAAATTTAATGACTTATTATATCCTGTAACAGATTATTTGATATTTGAAACAGAAAATAATAAACGACTTGCTATTTACTTAAGGGTAAAGTGATTAAGTGAAAGGTAACTCTTAAAATGGAACTGGTTATTAGGTATGATTGAAATTCCATCGTTAAACATAAAAAGCTACCTGACAAAATTATGTTTTTTGTTATCTGTTTGATCAAAGTTCACCTTATTAAAAAAGTGTCAACTAAACTGACTGTGTGAGACAACATGTGCTTCAGAAACAAAGTCTGATTATTTGAGAAAGCTTGTTTACAACATTGTCAAAAGTGAATATTATATTTCATTTTTTAAAAGTCCAGGAAGGCTTTCTTAAATGTTTGGATTTTTGGAAAATTCCCATAATATGTATATTGTTATTCAAAGCATATATTGTGTAACTTCAAAAAAATTGAATAATTTCATCTTTGCTATAGAATTAGACACACTCACGTTATATCTGCATTTGGATGAAGACCGAAGACTTCTGGACTATCCATACTAGGAAGAGTTGAAATATATTCATGATAGTGATCCAAAGTTTTACACACTGGAATTTTGTATCCAGTGTAAAAACAAAATGTGTTCTCAAACATCTTTTCACTGAACCAGACCTGTATAAAATAAAGACAAAGTAATAACACTTTTGCTAACAATCTCCAGATTGCTTCAACAACGATGGTAAAGTGGCAAGGAGTTCGATTCTAGAGAGGGGGATGTCCACAAAGAGGATGGGAGGAAGCAGCCATAACTTGTGGGAAGGGAACAAACTCTTCCTGCAATGTATAACAACATCAAAAAAAATTAATACTCCTTTCCTCGTCTTTCAAGGAGCTGAAAGCTTACTACTTAGAAAAGAATGTCACAGGAAAGGGTCATATTTACCAAATTCAACCTACATATAAGCCAAAGCTTGTATCTATTGATTTTAGGAAATAGTCAAACCTATGAATAAGAGAGAGATCTTATTTCAGAGATGATTTGCTTTTTCCTTTGCATGTAATAAAGAGTATCAGTTGTACCTTGCCATAAGATAGCTGAAGAGAAGGTTTATTTAATGCTTCTGTTTGTGCAAGATTTTGCACCAAAGCTACTTAAGATCAGCCACTGATTCTCAATTTGCTGTGTACAAAAAACAAAACAAAACCAAACCCCAGAAGACAAGACTGTCTGATGCAGTCATTGCAGTTCAGTTTGTAAGGAACATATTATTTGATCAAAGAAAGTCATTAACGGAGATTGGGGATTGCTGACTACCTCATGCTATGTCTTGTGCAGGTGGAAATACAAGACAGGATACAGTCAAGTTGACTTAGCACAAGGGCTACTTGTGATAACTTTCTTGTGTTCCTGCTTGTGAAAAATCTCTTGTGTGAGCAGAAATGCTCCATGAGATCCAATGCTAAATTTCTGACAGGATTCTGTAGATTAATCCATCTGAAAATTTATCATTTTTCATTTGAAATGTTTTTTTACTAAAAAAAAACAGTTCTGTCACATTTGCTTACTCTTGCAAAGCAATTAAGAAGACGCTTATCATAGTCATCCGTGACCCTGCCACCATACTGCACCTCTCCAATCATGTATCGGACTGTACTCCAAGATATACCCTAGAGGAGGGGAAAGGTAAATTAAAAAATGGTCAGGGGACTATCTTAAACATGTCTACTCAGAATCCTAATGAGGCCTATGGAATGGACCTTACTCTCAGGAAAGGATTGCACTGTCATCTGTTTTATGCAGAGATGCCCACACTGTGTTTGAGAAATCATTTGTGGACCTCTTTAACCTTGTACTATGGCCCCAGAGTTGTAAATGGTAAACAAGAGATATAACAAAGTTAAACTAGGAAATGTTGTTCTAAGAAGTTCCTCAAATTACAAGGTAAAAAACAATGCCATTTTGAGAAATGGAACCAAGATTGTGAAAATCCGTTGTTCGTAGCTTTTTATCATCCTAAGCAGTGGAAAATGAATAATGAAGACATGATTTGTCATATGTCTTTGTGCCAAGAATGGATTGCAGAATCTTTGTCATTTTGGTTATAAACTATTAATTGTTTATGAGTCAAGTGCAATGTGCCCAGAATTGAACATGCTGGCAACTCCAAAATACAAACTGCAGTTCCCTTCATCTTTAAACAATAACTGTTGGTGAAATGCCTTGCCTTGTGTAGCACACAAGAAAGGTTCGACATAGGATTCAATTCAGCTCTTTTTCTCCCTTCCCAACTTCCACTGTGCTGTATACCTATGATATCATGTGCATACTACAGAGTAAGGACCATTACTTTCAACATGAGGACCATGTAAGCGTCTTCTCCCCAGATCCTGGCCTTCTAGCAACTCATGTCATGAGGAACTTGAGTTCAAGATCTGTGAGAAAGAGGGACAGTTGCGTGCATATATGGAAGCTACACTCAGGCTTCCTGGTGGAAATACAAGACAGGATACAGTCAAGTTGACTTAGCACAAGGGCTACTTGTGATAACTTTCTTGTGTTCCTGCTTGTGAAAAATCTCTTGTGTGAGCAGAAATGCTCCATGAGATCCAATGCTAAATTTTTGACAGGATTCTGTAGATTAATCCATCTGAAAATTTATCATTTTTCATTTGAAACATGTTTTCTTACTAAAAAAAACCAGTTCTATCACATTTTCTTACTCTTGCAAAGCAATTAAGAAGACGCTTATCATAGTCATCCGTGACCCTGCCACCATACTGCACCTCTCCAATCATGTATCGGACTGTACTCCAAGATATACCCTAGAGGGGGGGGGGAAAGGTAAATTAAAAAATGGTCAGGGGACTATCTTAAACATGTCTACTCAGAATCCTAATGAGGCCTATGGAATGGACCTTAATCTCAGGAAAGGATTGCACTGTCATCTGTTTTATGCAGAGATGCCCACACTGTGTTTGAGAAATCATCTGTGGACCTCTTTAACCTTGTACTACAGCCCCAGAGTTGCAAATGGTAAACAAGAGATTATAGCAAAGTTAAAGTAGGAAATGTTGTTCTAAGAAGTTCCTCAAATTACAAGGTAAAAAACAATGCCATTTTGAGAAATGGAACCAAGATTGTGAAAATCCGTTGTTCGTAGCTTTTTATCATCCTAAGCAGTGGAAAATGAATAATGAAGACATGATTTGTCATATGTCTTTGTGCCAAGAATGGATTGCAGAATCTTTGTCATTTTGGTTATAAACTATTAATTGTTTATGAGTCAAGTGCAATGTGCCCAGAATTGAACATGCTGGCAACTCCAAAATACAAACTGCAGTTCCCTTCATCTTTAAACAATAACTGTTGGTGCAATGCCTTGTCTTGTGTGCGTGCAGCTGTACACACAAGAAAGGTTTGACATAGGATTCAATTCAGCTCTTTTTCTCCCTTCCCAACTTCCACTGTGCTGTATCATGTGCATACTACAGAGTAAGGACCATTACTTTCAACATGAGGACCATGTAAGCGTCTTCTCCCCAGATCCTGGCCTTCTAGCAACTCATGTCATGAGGAACTTGAGTTCAAGATCTGTGAGAAAGAGGGACAGTTGCGTGCATATATGGAAGCTACACTCAGGCTTCCTGAAAAAAACCTGCTGAAAGTAATGCTTTTCAAACTGCACTGCACATCCAGACAAGATCCAGAGAGGGAGAGGAAGGGAAGAAATATCCACTGGATTCTATGCTGATTCTCCCCTTTACGTACAGCTGCACCCACTGAGGAGTGGGTCATTTTCTATGTCTTAAACCCCATAATTGTACCTGGGATAATAGAAATGCATAATTGTGGTTAATATTGGAAATCAAACAGCTGGCTGACAGATATACACTGCAGATGTTAGAAATGAATTAACCATCATAGTAATGCACTTAGAGAACAATACATTATACAGTTACTAACTTTCTTAATGTCACATTCATCCAAGTGATTCTGTATAAACTGGACACTTGCTGTGAAGTCTGCTGAGTTGAATTCATAGGGAATATTCCAACCCAAAGGACCAAACTTGCGCCTTTCCTTCAAAAAAACAATGCAAAACAAGTAGTATGATTTCATGTATTTGTTTATTAAAGTGGGTTTTAACTAAGTATGGTATGTTGTCAAGCCCTTTCTATTACAAATATTTCTGATTAAAACTATTTGTTGATCCAAACACTTTAATGTAAATTTGCCAGTGCCACTAATGAAAGAGAGACAAGTGTTTCTTGACATGAACTAATTATATGCAGCTCTGTGTCTGTACCTTGTGAAGCTCTAACAAAACTGGTAGCAAGTGGAAGGATCCCAGGGTCAGGCTAGGACACACCATATCAGGCCCGTAGCCAGGATTTTTTAATTTGGGGGGGGGCTTTAAATATGTCAGGGGGCACTGATGTCACAAAAATAAAAATAAAATAAAAATAAAATTTCAAAAACTCACGCTCACCAGTTGGAGCACCTGTAAACTGCTTGGAGCCAAGGAGGCTGCTATGTTCTCCTGCATAAATGCCTGAAAGAAGCAGAGTGGTTGCTTGGGGAAGGGGTGGTGGTGGCAGCAGTGGGCCTGGGCTAGATGGAAGTCAGGGGGCCTTGGCAGGAAGTCAGGGGGGTGGGCCCCGAAATGCCCCACTGTAGCTACAGGCCTGCACCATATCTTGAGAACCAGAAATGATATGGTGTGGCCATTCAGCGTCCCATTCGGACACCAGCAATTGTACTGGTTTGTACTGTGACTTTGATGTACTGATGATCCACAGTGAAACACAGAGTACACAGGTTATTTGCTCATGGGCAAGCAACTGATATTAAAGCAAAAAGTGCATCTGAGTTACAGCAAAAGCTTGAGACCTCTCCTTCAGAGCAACAATTTGCATTTTTGCTGTCTGTTTCTAATGCTAAGTCATGTGTTAACTGGAACATAAAAGCAATGCTACTACAGTTTTAGGAGAAGCACTATTGCATACAAACACATTTAATGGCAAGCAATCTGTTTATCTCCTCCCTTTCTAGGGTCTGTTCATCAGTTTTCTTTTACATACCTCCATATACCTCCAGATAAAGAGCAACGTATTATGACTGGTCATGTTTAATGTGTAGTGGGAAGACATGAGGTAATAACATCCGTTGACTCCTCTGCACACAGAGGAGCACACACAGCAAATAAATGGCAACATTTCCTCTGGTGAAACTACATCTGTGTAAATTGTTGAGTGTCAGATGTTGTTACAAAGTGTACAGAATTAGCTGCTGAAACTGTTATAATCTGTACTGGTTTTGGAAGGAAGTTTGCTATCCTATGCGCACATGGTATGGAAGGTACTTGTGTTTGGATCTTTCTGTGCATTCAGCAGACAGCGTAGCTTTGGACAAATATATCGAGTCTCTGGAGAGGAAACATACACCTTTTCTAAATAAATAATACACCTCAAAATAATAAGGCAATTGTCATCATAATTGTTGTCTTATTTATCTATAGAGTGTGGGCTGTATGAAGGGGCACTCATTTTAATTGGCAACATCCACTGAGAACAGAGATGCAGGGAAGCGATATTATTTTCTTTTTAGTTTATTAATTTTCTAGCTTACAACATCTACCCAAAGTACAGGTAGGATCTATAACTGGATTTCTACCCTCACAACATGGCTTCCCCATTCCTCCTTCCTATAGCAAGTTGCAACCAAAAACTTATTTCTGAGGATTGGGGGACCCGTCAAGAAAGCAGTGGAATGTGGTATGGGGGGGGGGATCTACAGCCGAGGTGTAAACTGTGGAAATGAGCAGAAGTGCCTCTAACTCATACAAGAAGCCCTTTGGATCAAACTTTATGTAAGTACAGTGCAAGGCAAAAATATTATTTTTCCAGTATTATTATTTTTTATGTTTGAAAATCTGCTGTGGTTTCTCAACAATGAAGGAGAAAAGAAAAACAAACAGATCGGCACTGCCAGTAGCAGTCATAGCAAAAGGCTACTACTAACCTAGAAAGGCCAGTATGGAAACATCTGAAGCACAATCGTACCTTCAGTGTAAGCCCTGGAAAATACAAAGCTTGTGTGCCTCAGTATAAGTAACCAGGGTTATTCTTCATATACCCCCGTAGATATATCCCATTTTATATAAAGTGAAATGCACAATATATATGTACTACCTGAACAGTGGAGTGCAGGAAAGCTACAGTATAAAGAAGGGGCTTCCACATAGGCATATTGCTGATATCAAGCAAATCTTGGTTAATACTAGAAAATGTTCTTTTCAGTCCTGCGCGGACACCCTGCGGTGGTTCATTTGTGAATTTTATTGAAGTCTGTCATATAAAGAAAATACATTTGTTAGATTTGACTCCAAAAGAGGCATGCCTAAAATGCATGCTGTTTCTAAAGACAGAGCTCATTGCCTCTATGTATATGAAATGCTATTATGTCAATTAGAGAAACATCAGAGGCCAGTATATTTGTTCTGATATGCAGTGTTTAATTTTCTGAGCCTGCAACTGAATATCAAGTCATTGATGCCATGATTCTATAAGATGATACACATTTATTTAAATACACACCCAGCATTTTCTCATAGGATAGGTTATAACATTTGGGGAAAATCCATTTCCCCCTCATCATCCCAATTTTGCTACGCCAAACCAAAGGAAGTTACAAATCAAAAACATCTTTTTTTAAAAGTCTTTCTACTTACCCTTGTTCAAGACTCACATGACTAACATGAAGCTGCCTTATACTGAATCAGATGATCAGTCCATCAAGGAAATATTGTCTACTCAGACTGGCAGCTGCTCTCCAGGGTCTCAGGCATCTACATCTACTGCCTGGTCCATTTAACTGGAGATACCAGGGATTGAACCTGGGACCTTCTTCATGCCAAGCAGAGGCTCTTCCACTGAGCCACAACCACTCCCTTCTAATGTATGTGTATCCCCTTTCCCAACATCAAAACTCTCCCTTAATGCTCCATTCTAAGATTTTGTTTGCACCCAGATGCACAAGACCTCAGCTCTGAAATCCTGTTTCAGATCTAAACCTGGATCCTTGAATTTGTGGTGTCTCTTAGCATGTGCAATGTGCCTTTCCCTCATCACCAAATAATACAGCCTGATCCTGCACACTTAGAATTAAGAGGCACTGAAAGGCAGCACCTCTTTCTTGAGAGAAATTTATTTCATGCTCCTAAAGTGACATTGCCCAACTGAATCCACACTGACAAACCTAATGTCAATGATGCCATCCCAAGACAGCAATGCCTTGACCTGCTACCAAAAAGTTGGTACTCATCAGCTGCCATTGATCAAGAATCAGGGGAGTGGACTTCTGGTTTAAGCATTTCGCCGCTCGGACGTGTCCTGTCTCGCTCTGATGGAGATGCGCCAAGACCCGGCTGACGGGAGGGGTCCAAGTTCGTCCCTGACTTCCCTGGGATCTCTGGGGAGCTGAGGAGAGCCTCTTCCAAGGTGACGGCCAAGGAATTGAGGCTCACCTTCTTCCCCGAAAGGTACCGTCACCGCAGAGCCAGTATGGTGCCCAGAGACAACTGCCAGAGCAAGCGATCAGGATCAAATTTCTAAAAATGCTTCCAAAAGATCTCCAAGGCTCCAAATGCAAAGTTCAGGTGAAAAAAGCGAACTGAACCTTGGTAGTAATTGGAAGCGCCTAAGTTTGAAGCACTGGGAAAGAGGAATTCAAGCACCCCCCCCCTCTTCTGAGTAAACTTTAAAAATGGTTTTAAATCGGAAATAAAAAGACTTTGAGCTAAAGTAAGCGCATAAGAAGTTAAGCGAATGCAAAAACTGCTAAAGTATACAAAGTGGGACTAAATCGCATAACTTTTGTCTTGTTTTGGAAAACTTACTTCTTGTTGATATTATGGCTGGGAGAGGACGGAGGGTGCTGGAGAAAAAACTGGTGACAGGAAATAACATACCAACGACTCCCTCTCAGAACCAGGAAGTAACTACAGACTTTTCTTCACTGTTAGTAAATGCACTGCGCCCCCTAATGGATCAGATGACTAACCTCAATACTATTTTTTATTTATTTATTTATTCGAGTATTTCTACCCCGCCCTACCCCGCGAACGGGCTCAGGGCGCCTTACAGAGGCCTAAGCCATACATAAAATTCAATAAAATTCAATAAAATCACAGTCACAACCAATAACATAACATTAATAATAATAATGTGCTACTAAGCTGGACAATGTCAAAAAAACCTGAATCAAATGGATAAAAGAACCTCAGCAACTGAGAAAAAGTTGAAAAAGATGGAAAAACAGACTGAGAGCATTAACAAAAGACTGGATGAAGCAGAGAAGGAAAGATCCTCGGATAAAACGCAACTAATAAAGCTTCAGCTGGAAAGATCCATGTACGTTCTACATTTCCATGGGATTCCTGAAGAGAAGAATGAGAATTTAAAAGAACTTTTGGCGGTTGCCTTGGCCCCATTAATGGATTATAAACAAGAAGATTTAATAAAAGAGATGGATGTGGCTTATAAAACTTATCCGGATTTTATAAAGAAAAACAAACTCCCAGGGGAAACCTACCTAAAATTCACGAAATGATCTACGAGAGAACTGGTGCTAAAGTTAACAATGGGGAAATCCTTAAAAATCAAGAATGAAGATGTAAAAATTTTGAAAGACATCGCCTTTGAAGTTAGAAAATGGAGGAAACTATACAGGCTGCTCACTCTCATTCTGCAAAAAAAAGGGAATATCATACAGATGGTTATTCCTGGAAGGGCTGAGCTTCAACTACCAGGACAAAAAATATAAAATCGACTCTGTTCCAAAAGCGTAAAAATGTATGGATCAAATGTTCTACATAAAAAAGAACCAGAAGGAAAAGAATTCAAAACCAGATGGGGAGGAAGAAGAAGAAGAAGAATCCTACTCACAGGATTCAACAAGCCAAAATTCCAATCTTTGTATAACTTGTAATATTAGGTTAAAAAGCATTATTTCCCCAACTATTCAGATCGTGACATGTATTAGACTTCCCCCTTTCCCCAAATCCAGTAGATGAAATAGATTAGAATGATAGTCTTCCTTTCCCCATCAAGTAGATATATGTATTAGATTTCCTTTACCCATCACCCATAGTAATAGTGTTAGCATATTAGTATCCCTTTCCCCATCCCATGATTGTAGTGTGTAAAAAATGCAAAAAATAAAAAATTCCCTTTCGGGGAGCCAAAAAAAAAAAGAAGAAAAAGAATCAGGGGAGTGATGGGGCAGAGCAAAGCAAAGTAGAGAAAACAGGAAGCTTAGCAGAAGAACCTGGCTATAGGAAGTCTGTTTTCCTATGGAATAGGTAAATAACCCCCTCTCATTCAGTAGACAAACCATACTTTATTGTTTCTCAAATGAGGAAAACGTTTAGAGGTTTTTCGCTTCCATTTCAGTGCAGGCAATATTTTTACTTCTAAGTTTTCCCATTTAGTTTATCTAAACTCCCCTGAATATACTGGATCTAACCTGTAGCAAAGTAATTGGAAACCTATCGTGCGGTTCAGTGGTTATCCAAACACGGAAACTGTCATCAGGAATATCTGCAGTCAGCAACGTTTCCAAAAGCTCTTCCATGAACTCTAGGCCTAGATGGCAGTTCTGAAGCAGCACCCAGCCACCCTGTATCCAACAATAATTGATTAAACAACATGTATACCTTCCAGGATAGTGCAATTTGATAACCACAGATGTATATGAAAATTCCATTTGGAGCAGGTTACACCCTCTTATAGCTTCTTAACTTTTTTAAATATTGGTTAAGAATAAATACGGATTTGCATAGAAATACAACAGAAAGTCTTCCACTGAGTAAGTAAACTAGTACTGCCATCTAGTGGTTGTTACAAAAATTATAGAAGGGCAGTTTCAACAAGCTTTGATTCACTGAGATAATGCATAATTTCTAAAGAAACCATCAGAGAATGTTGCTGCTCAGAGTTAGCAAATGTATCTTCTCTTTTAGATCTGCAAGTTGAAAGATGAAATGCAGAAAGCAGCTACGCTGTGAAGCAAAGCTGCATTAACCTTTCCATCCTATAAACATTACTTGGAAGTAAGGCGGATTGACTGAGTGCAGTTTCAAGCACCAATGCTTAGGGTAGTTATAGGTATTTATAGGATCTATTAACATTTGTGGGACTTCCAAATACATGTCTTTGGAGTGATGATTTTAGTATGAATGTTACAATTATTCTTCAATAACACACTTGAGAGTGAGTTATCCCTTAAAGATAGGATTGCCAACTTCAAGGTCAGACCTGGAGATCTCCCAGGATTGCAACTGATCTCCACATTACAGAGATCAGTTTCCCTAAAGAAACCCCTTGGCTGCTTTGGAAGGTGGACTCTATGGCATTATGCATTTCTTAGTGTTCTCTCCGCCCTAAACCCTGTTCTCCCCAGTCACCACACCCAATCTCCAGGACTTTCCGAGCCTGAGGTGGGCAACCCAAACTAGTTATAATGTTATACATCTTTCATTTGTTTAAATACAGAATATTTTAATGTGGTCTTGAACCATAAACAAAGGCAGGGTATAAATATTTTAGTAAATACATTGTTGTGTACTGAGCCTAATCTCATCAACCCCAGCTTGGGGACACAGAACAATGGACTGCTAGGATCCTGGGATAGACCTATCACCCAGGAGTGCCTCTGTAAGTAGCCTATTGCTGGGAGGGGGTATTGGGTGTGCCATTTTATGGGCTTATAAGCAAGGATCCGGCCCTGCTAGAGTTGTCTTTGAGTTGAGCTAATCACTAAATAAACTATGAGCTGATCACTCCATGCATCTGAACCCAGTATATTTCATACATAAATAATGCAAAACTGAAAACAGGAGATATATCTATAACTACAAGGATAAGAATGAGAAAAGAAGGAATTTTTAGAAAATTCTCCAAGATTATACACATACCTGTGCCATTGACATCTGTATTAGTTTGCGTGCATGAACTTCTTGTCCCTGACCCATGGAGATAGCTCTGTTTTCTGTAAGAAATGAAATGATATAATGCTAATAAGAACAGGAGCATCAGCTTCCTCAGTTGCAAGTAAGTTTTTAAAAGAATGAAGAGAGTTTTCTTTGTTAATTCAGTTTTTCAGTTCTGTGATTTGATTAGCCATTGAGAAAAAGGACTTTGCGTTTTTTATTATCAGATTTTCAAGGTTATATCTTTGTTACATTTCACCGAATTTATCAACTGCACTCATTTTTCTCTTGTGTTGTTTTCTGCTCAGTAATGAAATGTACCTGCGTTTTACTCTTAATAGGCTGGATCTAGAGGTGCCATTATGATAACGTCATAGCAGTTCCACTGGTGGTGGAGGGTGATTTTCACTGATTACTCCTCCCCACTGCATATTCCCCCTTTGCCTTCCCCCCACATTGTGCCTGAGGTTTCCTTGAACCCTAGGGGCAGAATTTTGTGGGGCTTACTGGGCTGCAGTAGAAGTGGGAAAGATGGGGGAGAAGACTAGTTCCACTGAGTTGGCAGTACTCTGGATCCTACCCAATATATTATGATGAAGATGTTACTTTTTGCCAGCATTAATTTCTTGGGCTGCCAACAACAACTCAATTAAACAAAAGACTAGAGGTAATAGCTGCCCCTTAAAAATTATCCAATAGGACACTTATTCATAATACTGCTGATCACTGAAAGGACTTTTCATTGGCCTTGGGCTTTGTAGGAGGAGGAGAGGAGGTTTAATCCTTCAGCCTCCACTTGGTTTCATGATTTGAAATCAGGTGTCATGCCTTGCTGTTAGAATTTTAAAGGAAAAGAAAGTACCCTTTAAAACAACAGACATTTCTCTTTAAAATGCTAATAGCAGAGTGAGAGAGCCACTTTGAAACGGTGAAACTGAGAGCAGGGCTGGTTCCAGGTTTTTTTGCACACTAGGCGAGGCTACCTTCTTGCACACACACAGTGCGGCCCCCAATTTTCAAACATAAATGCGTTTTAGGAAGAATGAAAAACACAAAATTTGAAATTGCTAATTTTAAATTGGTTTACATTTTTTAACAATATGGTTTTATTCTGATTTTATTATTTCCTCAAGGGAACCTAATCTCTGTAATGCTGGGGGGGGGGAATCAACAAGAAAAGCAGCTCTGCGAGTGACTTCAGGAGGGAGGGGGTTGTTTAACCCATTTAACCCTCTCCTCGCCAATCGAGCATCCCCCCTCCAGATTGCTCAGATTGCTGCCTTAAGGGGGCAGGGAAGAAGGGAACAGGCACCGCCAGGGGTGGCTTCAGCCCGGCTGCTTGCTTGCTTTCCTCCCGGGAAGAGCGCCCCCCGGGGGCCACCTTCCCAGGGCAGGGGGCGACCATCACAGTTGACCAGGATGATGGCCAGCATGTAGTACTTGCCCACCGTGGCCTCAGTGGGCGGGCACGCGCGCAGCAGCCAGCCAGCGAGCGTGGCAGCAGAGAGGCTCTGCTGCCCGAGGCCAGCGCCGAAATGCGGGGTGGGGTGGAGCAGCACAGGAAGGAGGGCAGAGCCCTGCAGGGAGCCCGCTGGAAGCCGGAGCAGCACAGAGTCCCCGGAGGAGCATGCCTGGAAGTCGGACTGCGTCTCCGCGCGGGGTCGCAGCAGCATCGCCTCAGCCTACCCTATTTAGGTGAGGGAAGGGTGAGCTGCTCCAGGCCGCTGCCTAAAAATTCTCTATGTCAGGCCGGCCCTGACTAAGAGAAGGCTGAAGAATCAAACCTTCTTTTTCTTTCCCACAGGATGGTGAGGAAAACTGAGGCTGTACAAGCCTGCAATTTACATTTTATAGACAAACCAAGAAACATCCTGGTTGCTTCTGCAGCATACTACCTCCCACCCCACCCTGCCCCATCCCTGACAGAAGATAGCACCGCTTCACAGAGTTACTTGAGATACAGGGGAATGGATTCCATTTATGTAGCATCCTGTGGAACTTTTAAGTCCCACAGAAGCTATGCAATATTACAGTTGCCTGAAAACTGAAAGTAACTGGCTCAAAGAGGGCATCCCAGGCAGATAGCAAATAGCTTCGCTTTCTGCATAACAATTTTTAGATGCTCCAAGAAATATCACAGATCAATAACTCTGTCTGAATCATAGCCATGAGTACCTCAGTCCCAGATAGATATGCTTTGAGTGATGTTCCATGGCTTTTAATGAAACTTAGAACTGAACATTATTACTTGCATAATTAGTGATTATGTCATCCAATCCACTGCTTTAGTGCAGAGTAGAATATTCCTAAATAATCCTGATATTCTGGTCTTTTTTCACAATACCTCCAAAAAAAAAAAAAAGATTTTACACTCTCCCTTATATGTGTCACTGCTGAACTGATCTTGTGGTTGGGAATTTTTTGGTAGTACTTATCCTTAGGATCTTCTTACAATATATGTGATGCTGGTTCTCTCAGCTCAACTCACATTTCATGTCTGACCCAGGACTCACCTTTAAAAAAAACCTTCCCTCCTGCACCATCTTCAACAGAAAAAAAAATGGCCAGTGAGGGTGGTGGTTCATCTTCCTGCCAGTTCCACTTGTCTGTCCACATGTCCTGAGAAGACATGTGGAACTGGTAGCCAGACAAACCACTGTCCCAGACATTTTTTTTCTAACAAAGACCTTGCAGGATGGAAGGGAGGGAAGCCTGAAGCCCCTCTGTTGTTAAGCTGATCCTACCCCCCCCCTGCGGTGGCTCAAGTGGTTAAGACGCTGAACTGCAGGCTGTGGAAGGTCAGTAGTTCAGCAGTTCGAGACCCGGGTGCCGCATGATGGAGTGAGCTCCCATCTCTAGTTCCAGCTCCTGCCAACCTAGCAGTTCGAAAGTGTGTTAGATGCAAGTCAGGTCCCCAGTGCAACTCACATTTCATATATAGTGTAAGAAGACCCTTAGTTGATTATCTTGTAATTTAAATCCATCACAGACTAAAGATTTTAAAAGTAATTCAAACATACTCCTGAAGGTCATATAAAGGTCAAGAAAATGCTAGTTACATATGAACCCTTTGAGAAGACTTCTGAAGCAACTGAATTATAACAAGGAAGATTTAGCAAAGCAGTTTTCTGTAATGACTTTAATTGTACCCAGTTTAAGTTTCCTGGCCAAGGCATCGATCTGAAGAGTTGGGTCAGATCCCATTGATAAAAAGCAGATGAGTGGTGTTCGTCTATCACTTTCTTCCCAAGTTTTTTCTAAATTTAAAATTACTGGATCTGTGTATTTCTCATTCAATGAATCTGCAATGTATTTCCTGGCTTGAGAAAGTGTGCGATCTGGACACCAAGACCTAGAAACAAACATATATAATTAACTTCATATTAAGGGCCATTTTCCTTTATCTTGAATAATTTCAATGCTTTGGAAAAAATATTACAGTTTCCAAGTGGGAAACTCACAGGAATTTGCAGGGGGCACCTCATTTCTCCCTGCATCCTACTCTCCATAATATTTCTTTCCCTCCTCCTGGCAACCCCCATATCATATTCCCTTTCCTTGCTTCCTTCTCTTCTTCCCACTCACCACCCAACCTGCCCTCCCTACAACTTTAGTCATTATTTATTTCCTTCATTTATACCCAACCTTTTGTTTATTTATTTAAAACATTTTATGCTGCCTTTCCACCCAATCAGGGTCCAAAAGGCGGCAAATGTTAAAAAAAATAAAATAAAACATTTGAGCAATTAAAATACATTTAAAATTATTAAAAAATTCAAATAAAAACAAGCAAACCACACCAGATAGAGAGCCAGTAGCCATAATTGGGGATAAACCATATGAAACAAACAAAAAAAGTCTTTACTTGCTGGCAAAAGACAATGATAAGAGGCAGAGACGAAAGCTGGCAATACTGTTGTGGTTGCCTAAGCCGTAACAACCACCTCAATGGTCACTGAAATTTCAAGAAGCATTCATTTCTTGAAGCCATAGGTGTTGCTTTGATTATTTTGTGGGGGTTTATACCCCAGGGTGTGTTTTTTTTAGTTTAGATTTTTCTGCAAACCTGGGGATTTTCTTAGGTTTGTAGAAATATCACAGGGGGAGGAAATGCCATAATCCCCACCCCTGCTTACTCGGCTGGCCACTTGCCAGCCATCCCACAATGCCACCTCCTCTGCCTGCCTGACTCACATGACAGTGACTGCAGCTGTTGCAGTGTGGGGGGGGTAACAGTGGCTTCCCCTCCTCTCTCCACCTCTGCTCCACTTACAATGCTGCTGCCTCGGCCTGCCTGGCTCATGAGGAGGTGGCGGCTGCTGCTCTTCCTTCACCCACCCACTTGTAGCACCAGTTGTAGCAGGGGTTCCCTCGATTTTGGAGGCCCTAACCTGCTGCTGGCCAGCTGGCTGGTGAGGGAAGCCCCCCCCCAAAAAGCCCCCTCCCGCAGCACCAGCACAATGACATCACCCAGAGTGACATCATTGCATTGCTGATGTCGGAGGACAATGCTCTAGGTTTTGGGTAAACTTAGTTTTGAGGGCAAAAAAACCATCGAGTTTTGTCCAAAACCTAGAGCATCACCCCCAGCATCAGCAACATGATGTCACTTCCAGCACATGTACCAGAAGATATCCCAACTGCACCCAGGAGACCCCACCACCCGCAGCCAATAGGACTTGGCAACCCTAAGCACCGGTGATGGCGGTTCTCATTCCTCCATGCTGGATTGTTTGCCTGGCCAGCTGGCTGGCTTGCACAATGGCAGCTCTTGCTTTTCCTTGCCTACCGGTTCATACATCAGTAGTGGTGGTTCTGACTTCCCCTCCTCCTCCCTGCCTGCCTGGCTTGGTTGTTGGCAGGTTTTGCTCCCAGTCCCTTATCTGACCTCTCTCATCCCAAGGGGAATGCTCCTTTATATCGTCTGGACAGTTACAGAAAATGTTCTTCTCTTGGGGGGGATTTAAACCCCACTTCCTTTTTTTCTAATTCTAATCCCACAGCTATTCATATCTGAATATGGTCCCCATTCTCTGGATCTAATGATCCATGTGGGTGCCAAGTTCAGCATTAGATACAGATTGAGATGGGGAAAATATGCAGCATACATATGCATTAAATTGACATAATTCAAAATGGAAATATAGAAGCAACATTTCTCACCTGATAAGCAAAAGTTTACGACAAGTATCTAGAGAGTCATTGTATCCATCAGGAATAACTTCTTCCTCTGGAGCATCCTTATCGAACCAACTTTTCCATCCCTTCTCATTACGACAAATCTAAATACGAACCAAAGTAGTGAGTGGTTACATTTCCCATTTTAAAGAATGTCTATGATAAATTCCAGGTACTACCACCTCAGTTATATTTTACCTACTACTGTAGTATATTTAGTACTCTACATTTCACATCATGGGGAAATATTTTAGCAGTTATGGTGATTCTTATTCTAATGTGTCTTTGTGGCAGGAATATGGTGCAACATGAAGACATAGAGATATATAAACTTGAGATAACGACTCCATCTAGTCTATATCATCTAATGCAGGGGTCCCCAATGTGGAGCCTGTGGTTTCTCTGGTGCCTGATGACACCTTTCACCTATACAGGGGGTTTTTAATTGCGGGGGCAGCAGCTCTTGCCACAGCACAAGGACCTTCACTGAGTGACTGAAGGTAAAGCATTCTGTTTGCAGAGCTTCTGCTTGAAATTTTGAAAAGTCACTATTAAAGTTATGCATAACTCTCTGAGATTTTGTGGTTAGATCCTCTTCCTGTGGCAACCATTGTGTGGTTGGCTCCTCGTCCTGCAGCAGCCCTTTTATGGTTGGCTCTGCCTTCTGCAGCAGCCCTTTTATGGTTGCATTGACCACCCTGTGTCAGAACTCCAAAGATGCCTGAAGGCTCAGAAAGGTCAGGGACCCCTGATCTAAACCGGCAGGATCCAATGACGAAAATATATGGAATATAAATAATTACAATAATATTAATACCTGATTCATGATTTCAGAAAACTGTGGCAGCTTGCTTAGTTCCACCAGATTCAACCATGTCATATCAAGAATCCACCGGAATGGTTTGGGAGGACAAGCTTTTAGATCCAGTGCTGCACCACCTGGACAAAAATGATCACCATTATTATTATTAAGAACTACATATAATTCATTATTACTAGGTCTGAATTTTAGATTATCAAAGAAATCCCACCAAACAACAGAGAAAGGAAACTGACACAGCTCAAAGGTGGGCTGTTCTGGAAAGTGGAGACAAACTTGGGCTTGAAGCAGTTACAGATATCTGTGTCCTGAAGCTCCTTGAGACATTTTTGTCTCCCCTGGACAGTAAAAGTAAATCCACTCACTAGGGAGTACGTCCTACTGAACCCAGGGCAACTTGCATCTGAATAAACATGGTTTGGTTTGTGCTATATGGAACTTTTTACTCTAGGCATCTGCTTTGCCTATGGTAGGTTTAGCAGCTATGTGAAAAGAGTGTATTTATCTCAATTAGAAAGTGACAAGCAGGATCCTGAAAGAAGCAGTGGGGGGAACCCCATTTCCACCCTTTCTTTCCTCCTAAGTCACCATCACCTCCCTCCTTCGCTTGGTCATTGTTGCCTCTCATCCGTGTTCTGCTCACCACCACTGCCACACCCCATTGTCCTGGTGACTAACGCTTGGGGCCTGCATCAAATTATGAGGAGTGTGTCTTGGCACACATAATCTTTGATATGGCAACTCACAATAGTCCTGAATTCTAGTTTATTTTTTTCCCAATGTTAGTGCAAGTGTAGACATTGCTAGAAGATTTTTTTTTGGAGAGGCCTTTCTTTCTTTCTTACAAAACATTTTATTTATTTTCCATATAACATTCAAACAAATAAGTCAACTTTGGTATTTCTTAACGTATATAAAAAAGGAAAAAAATTAAATACATAACTTTTAGAAACAACCGAACATCCACAAGTATAGAGATTACATAGTCAATAACTATGGTAACATCATCAAACTGTAACAACTATGTTTTTCAAAGAAAGATTTACTAATGGGATTATTATCTATTTTTTCCAATACAGTATTCCATTTACTAAGAAATGACTTATAAGGTGAATATGAACTCTGAACCTTCAAACCTGTTGAGATCTTATCCATTCTATAATGGTCCCAGACCTTGGTATACCATAGCTGTATAGCAGGAGCAGAAGGATCTTTCCAGTGCTGTGCAATTGTCGACGTTGCAGCTGACAACAAAATGGAAACTAAAGATTTCTCAGAAGAGGCTTTTCTGTAATCTGTGTGGAAGCCAGCACTTAACAATTACATACAGTAATGGAAAGATTGCCAACCACAGATCCAGAATAAATGGGTTTGGCTCAGTGAACAATGGAGTTCTCAAAAGGGTATAAGTAACAGGTCACTTATCTGCAACAACTGTACTCAAGGCAGTGCACAAAGTGCACCATAAAATAGCCAGGGTATTAGCACAAATCCAGTCTATTCCCATAATTGAGCAAACGAATCATTTTTTTCATATATTACTTGACAGGGGTCATTTCCTGCAGGAGTGCACAGGAGCGGAGCTCCAGCAGCAAAGAGCCCAAGGGGCGGGCACATGCAACAAGCCCCACCCTCTGCTCTCAGCAGCCCTCAGTCAGAGCAAGAAGCAGCCAGGTAAGTTGAAGAGCCCCACCCCCCGGGCCCCCAGCCCAAAACAGTCCCGTGGCACCTTTAAGAGCAAGTTTTATTCAGGTACAAGCTCTCCCTCCTCTGCGAGGACAGATCTACATGTTCCAGCTGCTATTTACAAAGGAAACAAGTACTGTTGTAGCTTCTGTTCTTCCTTGTGCATAGTCCCAACCCATCTTTCCTGAAAAAATGCTTGTTCTTTTTCTAGCTGCCTAGTTGTCTGTTGTGTGTGGAAGAAGGGTATGTACTAGGTTAGGTGTACTCATTCAGACTTCACTGTGCATTGACTGGTACCTCCCATGCCTAAGGAGGAGAGGGAAGAAGAAGAAGAAGAGTAGGAGGAGGAGGAGGAGGAGATTGGATTTATAGCCCACCCTTCACTTGGAGTCTCAGAGTGGTTTGCAAACTCCTTCCTTTCCTCTCCCCACAGCAGATACCCTGTGAGGAAGGTACGGATGAGAGAGTGCTTTGAGAACTGCTCTTGAGAGAACAGCTCTGAGACAACTGTAGCTTTCCCAAGGTCACCCAGCAGCTGCATGTGGAGAAGTAGGGAATCAAAACCAGTTCTCCCAGATTAGAGTCCACGCTCCTAAACACGACACCAAATTTTCTCTCTGGGCGGCATAGTGTTATAATTGCGGAGTATTAGCAGATTTTCCAGGGATGCCAATGAGATGCCAGTGTTAGCTGGTAAGCTAGCTTTGATTCGTACAGTCACTGCTGTGTCCTTGTTGTGTCACTGGTTGACCATAGGCACACAACTTCATTTCACCAGCATTAGCCCTAGCATCAGGGGAGTAGCCAGAAAACTTTGGTTGGTGGGGCACTGGGAAATCTTGTGGGATGGGGAAATGTGGGGGAGAGAGAGAGAGAGAGAGAGATCCCATCAGCAGGCAGGTGAAGAAGAGAAGATTCTTTCCTTACCTTACCTTACAGAGTGCATATACGCTGAATATCAATTGCACCAGCCGGCCAGCTCTCCTTCTCTCCGGCCAGGCAACAGGGCAGCGAGTGAGCAGATGAGGCAGGCAGGCCTTGCTGAAGTGTGACCCAGTCATGTGCAGTCACATGATTGCAGTGAGGTTGCCTGCCTCATCCACCCACTCACTTGGCCAGGGAGAGGGAGAGCCTGTGGGCTGGTGTGATTAATACTGGGTGAATATGTGCTCCATGCTACAGTAGCGACAGGCCTC